AATATTTGTCCTTTTATGCCTGGCTTATTTCACTTAGCATAGTATTTTGGAGGTTCATCCATGTTGTAGCATGTGTCAGAATTTCATTCCTTTCTAAGGCTGGATCATATTCCATTTTATGTATATACCACGTTTTATTTTGTTTATTCTTTCACCTGTTAATAGACATTTGGGTTGTTTCTACTTTTTGACTATTGTGAATAATGCTGCTGTGAATATTAGTGGGCAAGTATCTGTTTATGGATTCTGTTTTTATTTATCATTTGTCTCAGCAATTACAAGAGGGATTAAACTTAGATTTAACAAGGACTCCCTAGTTTCCTACTACCAGTGACCAAAGCAGCAGCATCTCCCTCTTTGGATAGTTTTGATAACCTGAGTCACTTCCACGTCCTGTAATCCCTCCCCTGGATGGGGTAGTGCCCGGCCATAGCTGCACTGGTGTAGGAAAGAGGCTTTACAGGGGTCATTCTGGGGTCACAGCTCTGGGTGGTTTATTTGCGGGAGCTGGGTGGTGAGGGTTTCATTATCTTCAGCTTGGGCTCTGGGGACATTTGCCACCACTACCCACCCCAGACCCAACTTTCTCCTTTCCCTGGCAACATCCAGGCTGCCTCCCCTTTTCTCTCCCAGCCTAAATTAAGAATGTGAAGCTGCTCTTCTTCCCAATTTAGCTTTTGAATTAAAGTGCGAACTGAATGTGGCTGGAAAGCTGACTCCCATCTGTGTGCATGAGAGAGAAAAGCAGAGAAAGTGAGCATGAGCACATGCCGGGGGAGGCAGAGCGAGGGTAGCTGATCGGGGCAGCTGCTGTTGAGCACAGGCACCCATCCTCAGGTGCAGGCAAACAGCTCAGCAGAGAGATGCTGAGGTTGGAAGGTTGGTTTTTTTTTCAGGGACATCATTCGAACATTCTGGAAAAATGTGCTGAATTCTTGTTGTGGGCAGGCCCTGTACTAAACGCTGGGGAAACAGTGGTGAATGAGGTAGACCCATCGCCTATGCCCCAGCTTTCAGTGTAATGGGGAAATAGGCAATGACCAAACAGGGTGATGTGTGCAGTCAGGGAGGAGAGCAGAAGGCCACAGAGGCCTGGACAGGTGGGGAGTCGCATCTAAGCTGAGACCTGAAGCACACACAGAAGCTGACCAAGTGAAGGAGGAGACCAAGAGTGCTTGGGCAGAAGGCACTGCAAATGCAAAGATTTGAGTGGGCATGGCTTCCCTGCCGGAGCACACTGGCACCCGGAGCCCACCAGTTGGGCTAAGAGCTTCTACCTCCTCCTCTTCCTCTCTCTTCCCCTTCTTCCAGGGAGAACAAAGCCAGATGAAAATGGCTGGGCCAGAGAAGTTCAAGAGGATGAGAGTCCCTTCTGCCCAGACTCTGAATAGTTGGGGTAGTGGTCAGGGAAACCACAAGTCTCCTTCTGAGTTGCTACTCAGAAAGCTGAACCTGGCAGATCCAAGATGGACATGGAACAGGGGAAATGAGATCTCAGTTGCATCAGAGGAGACAAAGGAATCAAGGGGTCCCTGCTTGGTTTAGCTTACCCCATCCTTCCCTGGAGGGCTGGCTGAGTCGGTTTCTGGGGGACCTGTCCTCTTCGTACCTAATGGCAATGAATCATGATTCTAGCTGAGATGGGAACAGGTTGAAATCTTGGCAAAGAAGGACCTTCTCTTGGCAGAGACAGGAATGAGCTCTCTGGGGAGCCATGCATTTCTCTGTCAGCTCTTGAGGTCCCCAATGACAGGCACATCTAAGGGATCCTGGTGTAAAACTCGCCATCAATATTTCAGGCAGCATTATTTATTGATCACTCATCTGGCTGGGACAAAAGGAGAAGTAATTCATTAGGGATGCAGGGCTGGTAGGGTCATTTTGGGAAAGAGGTCAGGAAAAGGTAGGTCATTGAAGAGACTCAGTCCTGGCTTCTGGAAAAATACCTTGAGATTCCAGGGTTTGGGGATGAGAGTCTTCGACTCCTTTTTTGTTAGCCCAATAGTAAGTTCCCCAGATGAAAATTGAAAATAAGGGAAGGGGGAGGGGACAGGGAGACTTGGGGGCAGGTCTGGGACTGCCACTGTGGCCATCAGAGAGAGAATATCCAGGGAGTCCTGCAGCTAGGTGAGCTTCCCTTCCTCAGGGCCCAGCCTGCCCCTCCTAAATTCCCTACCCTTGCTACGCCTTTGGTCTTCTCACCTGACCCTTAATTCAGCAACAGCAGCCTTTCTAGATACAATTTCAGAAGTCCAGGTTGGGTCCCTTAGGCTGCAGGACCCTCCCAGGATCAGCTTAACAATTTCCCTGATCCCAGGAGGCGCCTGGTCCTCCTTGAAAGGGAGTACCTGCCTGCTGGGTCTGACCATCTCTTGAGCACACAGGCTGGGGTTAGGAAGTGATTGCTTGAGAACCCATAACTGTCCTATCCATACACAAAAATGCTTTGTTCATGAACCTCCAACTCCAGGGATTGGGGCATGAAGCAGCCTGCTCACCAGACCAGACCTCAAGTGACTGGCTGCAGGAAAGACTGTCCCCTGCAGGGGCCAGGAAATCCCACATTGGGAGGGAGCTGCGCCACCTAGTGGGATTTTTCCTTCTTGCAGGCATTCCTCCCACCCGTCACTGCTTCCTGCCCATATGGGACAAGCTCTCCCACTGAACACAAATGGCTCTAAGATTTAAGGTGCCGTCTTTCTCCAGGCAAGCCTGACCCAGCTCAGAGAAGGAAAAACTGGGGGGGGGGGATTTGTGAGGGCAATGATTACGTACCAGCTGATATTTCAGGCAGAGGAGAAGCCAGCAGTGGCTTTTGGCCTGGAAAGAGTTTCTCCTCTTATTCTGGATACCACATATGTGAAGACCATGGCCCAGTGCTCCAAGAGCCCCTCCCTCCTTTGTCTAACTCCTTTTCTTCCATGCTGAACAAGGCTGGGCTCAGCTCTGCTGATCAAGGAAGAGCTGGCACAGGCTGGAGCTGCTGGCTTTCCTCTGACGTCATGGCCTGGAAATCCCATTTTAAGCAGGTTCTCTGGGTGTGGGGCAACACAAGAAAGGGAAGGGGAGCCAGCTGAAGCAACTCCAAGCCTGAGGCCATTTTAGCCAGGGACCTCAGGCCTGGAGGCTGCCCAGTGTCCCCAGCGTGGTCTGGGCATGGAACACAGGGCTAGACTTCAGCCCCTACTCCACAGCTGATCTTTCTCAATGCCCAGTGGGAATCCAGACAGTGATCAAGCACCCTCCACATAGCTGTAGCCATACACCTCTCTTTTGACATCTCTTCCTCATTCCCCTGGCCTAGAGAGATCTACTGAGGTAGAGGGGAGAAGGGATGTGGTCCCAGGGAATGAGACAGCAAAGGGTCACGGAGATGTGTCCCACCAGCCTTCCCCCCTCATTTTGTTTGATACACTCCATCTCCTCTCCTCCCCTGCACCACAGGGGCCAGGGCCTGTGCCGAGTTCTAGGAGACTGAATGTTTCCATGGCAACGGACCAATGAACTTGGAAATCTGAGCATGTTTCTGTTGACACAGGGAAACCCAGATGTGCATGGAGAGGCTGGCAGTGTGGAATCTAGCAGTGACCTCCTTAACCACTGGTCACTATAGGTGCAATTGTGTAATCTGAGTGTGAGCGTGTGTGTGTCTGTAATATGCAGCAAATGGGATTTAGGTTAGAGAGGGCCTAACCTGCTTTCCTGACCATATGGTATCTGCTAGCATGAGACTGCAGCGTCTTACTCTCTGGAGATCTTTCTAGAACAAGGGAGTCTTTCCCCTGAATTCTACCCTGACATTTCCTCTCCTTTCTGAGAAGAATAGAGAAAGGGGCCAAGTTGCCCAGAGGCCGAGGGTGAAAGGAATACCCTTCAGAGGGCTATTGACTGGAAGATTACAGGAAAGATGGGAAGGGCATCTCACACTCCACTGCGACCTCAGTTCAGAAGGTTCTTGGCCAGCTGGCTCAAATGTGGCAGGAAGACATGCCCCTGTGATGTTAGGGGAGGGAGAGGAAAGCTTGATGTAGGGATGTTTTGCCAACCTTTGCGCCCAGGACCTGGAGCTAGGTCCCTATTCACACTCCCTACCCCATCCCAGGCTCTGCTTCTTTCATTTTCCTTCCACAAGGCTGAGCCACTGTTTCTCTTGCTTCCTTCACCCTCCCTCCTACTTCCCTCCCTCTCTTCTTTACTCTTTACTCTTCCTTTGTCTCTTCCGATGCTGCCTCTGCTCCTGTTATCCTTTCCCTTCTCCTAGATTTTGCCTCTAGGGCCTTGTCCCCACTGGTTGTGCCCCTCAGTCCCTGATGGCTTTGGCTCTACCTCCCCAGGACTCAGACCCCATGCCCTGCAGCCCTCCTGCTCCTTCTTTCCTACAGCCCAGCCCAGCAGCTCAGAGATCCACCCTTCTGGCCCCAGCTCTTGGTTCCCTGTCCTCCTAATCTGTCCCCAGGTCAGACAAGAACCATGGGGCTTGTTCCTCATCTCCACCTCTTCCCTCATCCCACCTGTCTCCCCCTTTCAGTGTCTGGCTCACTGTCCTGCTCCAATATTTTTTAGCCTTCCTAGGCACTGTGGACATCCAATCCCCCGACTCTGCCCATCAGCCCCCATATCACATCCTCTCTTCCCTGGGGGCCTTATCAGGATCTTTGTCCCTACAGCTTACACCTGGCACTTTCTGTGAGGTACCAGAATGAGAAGGGGCCTCAGGGCAGGATTCTGAGGGACAAGACAACCTCTGAGGGTGGGAGCCCCTAGCCTTTCTTAAGTCCTGGACCTTCCTAGTCCCCTGGCTCTATCTTGAAGCCCAAAACCATCTTCCCAGACTGAACCACCTCAAACCTATCTCTTACCTTGGAGATAAGAGCTCCTAGGGTTCACAGTCTGACCTCTTCCACCCTCCATCCCACAGCAGAGCCCTGCTTCTCACCTGAAGTCCTTCCCACCTGGGAAGGATGGGTAGAGCAAGAACAAAGCACAGAGGTCAAAATAAATGAGGTGCCAGAATTTGGTTTATTGGCTCTTCCAGTGCCAAAGGTCTTTTGGTCACCCTCTTTCCATGGAATTGGGAGACCCCTGGCTCCTAAGTTTTTTTCTTCTTCACACATTCCTCCTAGTCTGACTTCTGAAGCCACAGCAGAAGCTGGGGCAGAGTGTGGGATAAAGGCTGGGTTCTGACAGGGGTCTGCTTACGTGGGGCCTAGTCTGCTTGGCACAGGAAGAGGACCCTAGGGGACAAGGAGGATGGGCCCCCAGGTTGAGAGGGAAAGGAACGGCTCAGTGGGGGCCTCTACAGAGGGCCCTAAGGGGTGAAGAAGCCCAGCCCAGGGGCAGGACAGGAATGCAAGGAGGAGAGAAGAGAGGATGGAGGACAGAGGAAGAGGTGAGAGGCCCCTCAAAGCCCTATTCTCTTGTGGGCTGGGATCCTCTGAGGCTCAGAGGGAGGGAGGGCTGAAAGGGGGAAAGGGCCAGCTGGCTGTGGGGCTGAAGGTGGGGGGAGATCAGTGCTGGAGGGAAAGGCCTTTACTCAAAATCTCCCAGCCCTAGACTGAGAAACACACACACACATAAACACACACACACGCACACACGCACTCACACACTCCTGGAACCCCACCTCTTTTCAGTGGGCACATGCAGCACACAGCCCAACTCAACGCCCCCAGCTGCAGCTCTGGCCTGGCTCACCTAGTCATTGAAGCACACACTAAGCCCTGTCCTCCATTCACAGCTTCAGCCGGAGCCCCTGCCCAGGTTCCCTGAGGCCTTCCCCACTCCCTCCCTCTTTCCGGTGCCTTCAGGCCCGTCTCTGGTCAATCTGGGCTGTGACTGGCATCTGGACCTGGACTCAGGGAGAGCAGTGGGGGCCACATTAGGACTTCAGGGAGTTCAGGGAGGGGGATGGCCATGGTCTTCAGCAAGGCACTGGGTGGGCGGGGGCAGGGCTGGAGCGGGGAGAGTAGCGTTCAGGCTCTGAGGAGCCTGCATCTCCTTGGCTGGCCCAGTCCTCAGCTCCTGGTCCAGCCTCTACCCTCAACCCCCACAGCAGGGCCTCCCTCCTCTTTTCCAAGCCCTTCCAGAGGAGTGGCCACTGGGCAGGCACCAGAAACAGCCATCTGAGAGGTCCTGGGGCCTGAGGCGCGAGGGCTACTGGCACAGTGTGGAGCCGGGGCTCTGCAGCCTGGGGGCTGGGACCTCAAGCTGAGTCGCCCCCTGCAGAGGTCTTCTTCTTGGGCCGGGTCTTCAGCGTCTTGGAGGCCAGTGGCTGTGGGAAGGACAGAGGAAGACAGAGGGCTCAGCCTGGAGCCACAGTCCCTCCCCATTTCCCCATGCTCTGGCATGGCTCTCACCTCAGCTTTGGGCACTTTTTTGATGGATTTGACCCTCTTGGTGGCTTTGTCTCCTGTATCATCCTCAGAGATCTCTGTCCGGGGGTCTCCCTGGTTTGTGCCTGACCTTAAACTCAGGGCAGGGTCATCTCCTGGTTGGGGGAAGAAAGGAGAACAGGGGTGTCTGGGTGTCTTTCTCACCTGGCCTCCTTGCCCTCATGCCCTTCTGCCCATCCCTGGGCCCATCTGTACCTAAGTCCTCAATGGTGTCCAGAAGGCTGCCGGGGCTGGGTCTGAGGCGGCCGTCAGGACCCTGCAGGGGCAGGGCATCTTCATCCCGGATCAGGGTCAGGTCCTGCATGCTGAAGCTTCGGAGCTTCTCTGACAGCACCCCCTGGCCCTAGGGTCACCACCACGCACCGGGAGAACCGGAGAAAGGGGCGGGGTGGAGATAGAGGTCACCGTGGGGCACTAGGCAGCCACTGGGCTCAGTGCTCTCCCTGCAGTGTCCTCACCCTGTCCTATGGGGTGACAGCCTGGGGCCATGCTTTCCCTTTGGACAGATGAGGAAACTGGCTCAGGGTGTAAGTCGCTTAGTGGAGGGTGTTAGAGGCAAGACTGGAAGGAACCCCGAGCTCCACAAGCCCCCAAACTTCACAGACCCAAGGACAGGGTGGATGCTATGGGGCCTGGCCAGGGGGACAAGATGAGCCAGGTGGGGCCCTGGGAGCTGAGTCTGTACCATCTCACCTTGGCAGCAGCCGTAACCGCGGCATTGGCAGCCAGGTTCAGACCCCTCTTGCCCACCCTCATCATGGTCTCATAGCTCTTGTCGCGGGCCTGTGTGATGTACTCATCGATTTCCTGAGGGGTTGGAGGGGAAGGAGGAAGAGGTGAGGGGTAGGCCCTGCTGGCCAGGCCCTGCCCTGCTCTGGTTCATGCCTGGACAAAGGCACTGCCTGCCCCAGGATGCCAGAGATCTGCTGGGTCACCCACAGGGCGAGCCATGAATGCACATGGCTGCAGGCATTGGGCTGCCTTGACCTGGGGCAGGTGGGAGGCGAACTTCCTTGTCCCAACAAACCTTCTCCTTGTTGGACAGTGTTGGGTGCACGAACTTGCGGTAGAGCACACTGGAGCCCTTGGTATAAGGGGACAGCAGCCATATCACAAAGGCGATCTTGAGCTCAAAGTAGAAGGGGAACCTGTTGGGGGAAGAGAGGCAAGCGGCGGAGCTCGGGGCAGGGAGACAGGAGGTGTGCTGACCCTCTGACCTTGGCTGGCCCCCCACACATGAGAGGTCCCCATGTGGCTCAGGAGACTAGTCAAGGGGAGACTCAGCTGAGACTCCAAGTGGGAAGGTGAGAGGCAGCCCCGGCAGGAACTCCCCGCAGCAGCGGCTCTCCTCACCCTCCTCTCTCTCCGAGTCCCAGCCCTCTCACACTGACAGAAGACCCCTACTCCTCTGTCCTGGGGTCAACACCAAGGTGAGCTCCCTAAACTTCTAGGTCCACTCTTGGGTCCTTACCCTCTTCCCTTGCACCCATGGAGAAGAGGTGGGCTTCTCTAGTTGTGCTCTGATCCACCCCTTGCTGCCATGACATGCCCCTTACTTTTAAGGACCATTCTTCACTCCCCATGGCTTCTTCTCAGGCCACAGACTCCTTTTGGCCTCCTCCATCCTCATGAAGCCTTCATCAAAGCTCCCTCCTTTGCTTGTGTCAAAAGGCATCTACACTCACTAGTCTCAATTTTTAACCCATTCCTCTTTCTTAAGCTGACCCCACTCAACTTCCTTAGCTAAAACTATTTTTCTCAATGGCCATAGGCCCTTGTCATCTATAAAGGCAAGGATCTTTTGTCCTCTACCTCTCTGTAAAACTCTCTTCTGACCTCCAATGTACTGTGTTGTGTTAGTCCTCTCTTCCCAGAGGCATTTGCTCACTCAAACGTTTTGAGTGCCTGCTGTGAATATGTAGATGACTAGGACATTCTGTGTCCTGTGCATATACATAGTCTAGTAGTGCCTGGAAAATGCCTTTGCAATGTAAGCATCCAATGTTTGTAAGATTGACTCGTATGTCTATTTTAAAAATAGGGAAACTGAGGCCTAGAGAACTATGACCTGCCCAAGGTCATAGTAAGTCTGGCAGCAGTTTTCCTGAATTCTATTTTGGTGCCTTGACCGCCACAAGAAAGAAATGTGAGGGTTATGCCTGTTTTTATTCTGCTGATTAAGCCAGGCCTGGATGGGAGGTGGAGGAAGGGGACATCTAGAACCCCGTGTAACTGTTGGGGGATTCCACCCTGGATCTCAGTCTTCTGTTTTGCTGGCTGTGCAGAAAAAGTCAGAGGCTCTGGCCCCTGAGATGCAGGGAGAGGATGCTGGACCTCACCAGGAGAGCACAATATCTGTGAGTGTCTCGGCCGTGGTGAAGAAGGCAAAGACGATCCAGTACATCATCCATTTCACCTGAAGGTATAGAAGGTGGTGTTGGCTGGGGCCTCTGTGGAACACCCAGGACCCCACCTCTGCCTGCCAAACATGCTGGAGGTGCCGCAGGGGACACTCAGGACCTCAGCTTTGCCTGCACATCACACCAGGGCTGGGGAAAAGGAACACACAGGAACCTCCCTTGAACCAGGTCTCATTAGTGCTGACAGTCTTAGTACAGAGTCACCCCCATCTTTCATGTGACCCACTGTCCTCCCCAATCTCTACCGTGTGGGTTGGGTGGGAGATGGAGAGTCATACACTCACATATTCCTTCACGTTTTTTGTCTTCACCGCCTTGTAGGAAGAGTAGGCTGGGTACAGGGTGCCAAAGATGAGCCTAGGAAGGCAGGCATGGTTACTGGGCCCCTCGGCCAAGAGCAGTGGCCTCTCCCTCCCAGCTTGTCATTAGTCCCTGAGTAGGTAAGGGGAGAATGGACAGAACTCCAGAGTGCCATATCAGCTGGAATGATGAACTCAGGTGAAAGCAGTCAAGCCTGAGGTGATACACATGCATGGAGACCCCAACCAGCTATGGTGATGCCCTATACCCCTTTATTGTTCAGTTTTCCTCCAGCCCCTGAGGTATAGAAAGACCCAGAGGCCAGAGGGTCCAATGTGGCCTCTTTAGCCCTGATCCTTAGTTACGCATAAACACATTATGGGAAATGGGGGGGGGTTCCTGATCACTGCATGGTGGGGTGTCTTCCTTCTCCAGACATCATGCCCATTTGTACCGATCTGCCCTTACCCTCTACCTCCCTGTCTCAGAGCCAAGCTGGGTAGGGCCAGGTCTGCAAGGGAAGCTGACACTGCCTAACAGGGCACTCTGCCTGGCAGTCAGAGGTACCATTGTAGCCCTGGGGACCTGGGGAGCAGAGGGCACAGGGGCAGGAGGCCCTGAGAGGGGCAAAGAGGTTCATTCCCCCATGTAAACACTCTTGGGACCAGGCTCAGGGGAGTGCCTTGGGCTTGAGGCCCTGGCTCAAGCCTGGAGTCTGGTGGTGGTCCTACTAGAGACCACAAATGGGACACGAGGGAACGAGAGGACCGATGCCCCTCAGGAGCTCATCCAGACTACAGAGAAGCAGCCACTCTGAAGGCCACATGGAGGATTCCCTCTGGGGTAGAATGGTGGAGAGGCAGGAGGGAGACTCCTGTGGGTCTAGAGGAAGCCAGAACATAAGCACATGACAGCATTGAATGGGGAGATGACAGCAGGGAGGGGATTCTTTGGTGTCAGTTCCCTAGAGTGGAGGCTGAGGGGCAGAGGTTGGCTAGGGCCCATGTGGAGCCCCTGCCAGGCCCAGCCCCTTGACAATGTGTGGGTACTGCCTGTTGTCACATGGATTTGCCTTACTGAGGCAGGATACTTCTGGAACGGCCTGTGGAAACGGGGTGGAGGGTGGAATACTCAAGGACAAAGTCTGGGGTTGTGGGAGCAGGGTTTCCTCCTGGAGCCTGGGGAAGGTGGGAGGGACATAGCTAGTGGCCTGGAATGAAGGCCACCTAACACCCTCCCCTCCACAGATTTCACAGCCCCAGTCAGAGCACACACACCCCCTCCCAGTTACCTCCCACACTTCGTCCTCTAGGCATCTCAGCTGCAGATACCCTGTTTTCCTTGGGAGGCCTTCAGAGCATGTGCCCTTATCCCCAGTCTCCTGACAGTGGAAGACAGAGGGGAAATCCACCCCTCTGGGGAGGCCAAGGCTGCCATGGCCCGAAGCTATGGAATGAAGAGGCCCTGCCTTGCTCACGGGCTCTTCCATTAGACCTCTCCCTCAGGGAGATGAGGGCCCAGGTCTAAGGAGCTCCTCCAGCACTGATCTGCTACGTGGGGGAAGGGACGTGCACCTCCCCTCATAAACCAAGCCATGCTGCCCAGTCCCTGGGATGAGGGAGGGAGAAGGAGCAGAGAATTAAAAATAAAAGGGGTGGGAAGCCAGGCCTGCCATGCTTCTCTAATATTCCCCTCTCCAGTCCTGGGTTCCACATCTCCATGGCTCTGGGGACCCCAAAGAGGGACCTTGTGGTTTAGGTGACTCTGCTGTATGAGGCCACAGAATGGTCCATCTGGGTTTCAATACTTCTCACCCTTCATTCCTAACCCCCATCCCCCTCCCAACCGGCCGCACCCCACCGTCGCCACACTCACACCACCAGGCGAGAGATGATCCAGGACACCATGGCGGGGCCAGGCGGGGCGCGGGGCGGGGACCCGGCCCAGGGCCGAAGATGCAGCTGCTGGAGGTTGAGCGGCGGCGGCAGCAGGAGCCGCAGTAGCAGCAGCACCCGCAGCAGCAGC